TGGCTATAGCTACATTCTGGGCTGGGCACAGCAGTGCCTTGGCCTTGCTCATAGTCAGCCCTGGAAAACGAGGCTCAACAGTCATTCAACAAGTAATTGACTTCATGGGATACCCAGCCTCATGATCCAGCTCCTTGGAAGATTGTCTGACTGTAGCTTCTGCTAAGAGGGCCGGAAGGAGCCGTTTCTGCTTTTGACTGCTCTCATCTCATTTCTCCTGTTGAGACTTGAATGTGTCCTGAGGCCTACTGGCCTCTTCATTTTGGTTCCCTGTGCTAGTCTCCAGACCTTGAGTTTCAGCAGTGAAGGGTACAAGCATCTAGCTACCCAGGCAGGATGGAATTTGTTCGCTGCTCGATTGTTCAATATACCTACCAGCCCTATGCCCCAAGGCGGCTGTCAGTCTTCATTGGGCACTGGGGTCTTTACAACTGACTTCACATCCCATAGGGCTTCTGGCATTCTTGGCAGGTCTCTACTTCTGAAACTTGAGACCCTTTGTAGTAACCTCCCCTTAGCAAAACACCACCTCTTAAAGACGTGAGTGACTGACTGTGTATCTCAGCCCAGGTGCTGCTAGTTCAGCAGCTGTGAGAGCCTAAGGGGCTGCCGTGATCAGTGACTGTTGCTATTGACAGCAGTTCCTCATTTTCTGGGCTCTGCTTTTGTTTTGTTCCTAGACTTATCATGTCAGCTTTAGTGCCTGACATTCAGGAAATTGTTCTGAGTATGTGTCTGCATGCGTACACCAGGCTGCAGGTAACACCATGTGAAGTTCTTGAGGAAAAAATGAGATGGGAAATGTCTTAGTTTTCAAACAGGGAGATTTTGTGCTTAACCCATCAATTACATGGCACCTCCTGCTGCCCACTGAGCTGGAGAATGAGTTGCCACAAGGGGATTTGGACTCAGATCTGGTTGTGGGGACACCGTGGGGACTGGGGCCCGGGCATGCACCTGCACCCACACAGTGACTCAGGCTCTGCCACCAGCTCTCACACATGCCCACTATATTTTGAACCATATGAAATTGTCAATATTAGGCCATTTTTGATGCACAAAAATAGCAATTTCATATGGCTCCACTTACTAACGGTTGGTTTGATAAATATGTTTCTGAAAATAGATACATTTAAAAATAAACATTGACAGAAATCATGGCAGCTTTTCCCTCAGCATTTCCCCAATCAAAGAATATTTAAGGTACAGCTACTATCCAGTAGGGATCTACAACTTTGACTTTCTTAAACCACACAAAATAAGTGAAGCACTAAACCCAACACCAGTCAGCTACTGGAAAAAAGTTTGAGGCCCAGATCTGACCAGGAACCCTGCCAACTGTTCTGCTTCAGCAGAGGTTACAGCCACTTTTACTGAAAGCTTTGCATTAAAAAATTTTTCATTAAAGACATGAGTACATTTTAAATTTGATTCAATGCGTAGGCCACTTGAATTTGATACTGACTGCCTGCTACCATCTGATGCGGCGTGTGGGCCCTCCTAGTAGGGCTGCCTTGTGTGTGGGAAAGCGGATGGCAGTTCACAGAAAGATGGCCCGTCATAGAACCACACACACACATGATCACAGGCATGGCAAAGAACAACAAAGCTTGGTACCTTCCTCTCGCCACAGGATGTTTGCAACTGCAGCAGCAGAGAATGAGGAAAGCAGGAATGTGATTAGGGCAGGAAGAAGAAGAAAGCAGTGTCTAAACCTTTAGTGATCCCATTTATGAAGATCCTGGTACCTAGTCCATCACTTACAGAATCTGCACCACTCACTGCCCTAGGAACAGGGCCTTGTGGGGGAGCTCTGGACATGAACAAATGCTTTCAGGTCTCTAGACCCTTTTGATTCCTCAGTGAATCTTTGAAATCATGCCCTAGGACCACAGAAGCCAATGGAATTTCCCACATTCTATGGATGATCAAAAGAGTAAGCAACATCTCTCCCAGATTTCCTGGACCACCACCAGGAGAAGTGACTTTCAACTAGGATTCTCCTAGGATGACCATGTGAAATACTTCTGTTTATCTACTTTGTTGAAAATGGTTTGGCTTGGAGTCTCTGACCATGATCAACACCCATGTCCATGAAATCCTACCTGCAAGCCTACCTGGGGAACGGTGGTTATGAGGAGAGCACATTTAGCACAGCGATGGGCCAGATCCCTAGTATAAAGGCTACCACACTCCCAACAGTGTGTGGTGTGCATGTGTGCACACTGTTGTGCACACAGCGGCCCAGGTTCTGGGCCACTGGGGGATGTCAGTACCACAGTGGATAGTATAACAGATTTTGTGGATGAGGGGGAGAGGTTCAGAGCATAAACAAGTAAAAAGCAGAGCTGGGACTCAAATATTTGGGTTTCCTTGTGTTCCTGGGCTCTGCCTGCTGTCCAGGGAGTTTCCCTGTCTGTTTCCAGAGTAGTCTGCGTTGCTAGAGAAGGTGTGCTCACCTCTGGGTGCCCTCCAATTCCAGCTTTATGCACAGAGGGATGGATATGAGTCTTACCCCTGTCTTCATGGGCTCATGGTTGGCAGCAGTGGCCCTGGGCAATCGGTGCCCTCCCTTGCCACTCAGTACAGCCCAGTCAGCTCAATGAGAAGCATAAAGGCAAGTGTTGACTCACGGGTCTTTCTAGCTGAGTCTTCAATGAAGAGCGAGGAGATATCTTCATCCACACCCACTTCATTTTTGGCAATGCAGGTGTACGCTCCTGTGTCTTCATATCGAACGCTGCCGATGTGGAGTTCACTCCCATTGGCTGCAGAAAGAACAGTGCTCAGGGTGGACTGCTCAGCCAGAGACCACCTCACTTCCCCATTTCTTTCACGGGGCTATTGAGAGTGTTAGGGCTGACCTGCCTGTGGGCAGCCAGCAGCTCTGATCATACATCCAGGAAGGGCTGGCAGAGCTGAAATGCACTGTGGGTGAGCTGGGCCCGAGTGACAACTTCTCACCATTGCTCTCAGAAAGCCTGAAAAGACCTGTGTGAGCGCAGATAACAGGGAAATTTGGGGAGCCATCTGTTCACTCCTAACCTGCCTGACTTAGAAACAAATGATATCTCTCATTTCCATTCCTGGAGTCTCAGCTTGATTTGGATGGGAATATCACAGACACCTACCAAGGGCAGTTCTTACCTAAAAGGGAGAGCTGTTTAGACATCTGGGTTGAGACATCTATGCCGTTTTTCAGCCAAGTGATTCTGGGCATGGGAATGCCCTCTGCATGGCATCTCAGGCTGGCCGCCACTCCGGGCTCCTGTGCCTGGCTCTCTGGATAGACACGGATGACTGGTGGCACTGTGGGTGAGAGTCAGTGCTGGTGAGAAAGAGGCAGCCTTGACCTGGGCCTGGGTCTGTAGCCCAACCTGTGACCCTGCTCTGGAGGGGTGAACCCAGGAGGTGACTGGAGTTTTCTGTTTAACCAGCTTACAATAATCCTGTCCAGCAACTCAAGCTCTAAAAGAAAGAGCTGTAAAAGAGATTGCAGATAATAAATATGCCAGGCTTTGAACCCTATAATTCATGGCTTTCATCATCATTCTAAATATGATCAGAAGGCCATCCAAATATTTAATGCTGCTCAGCTGCTACATGTAAAGAACAGCAGCCACTGAAATTTATTTCTGAATAAATAAAATGAATAAAATTGAGATATATTCTCTTTCTGTTATCAGAAAGTCAATGGATAGGGGTTAATTTCTTAGAGGAAATATATCACAGAGCATTTATGGGACTGACCAGCAGGGCTTCTGTTCTGAGGAAGTCCATTCATTTTCCAGCGGGTAATTTTCATTTCTCCACTTCCAAACCCCCGGAACATGGGTGAAAGGCCAGTTGTGCCCTCCTTGGCTCGGAGTGACTCAGCCATGGGCCCTGACAGTCAAGTTTAGGGCTAGGGGTGTGACCCTGCCCACTAACCAGACGAGCATGGGTGGGCAAGGCTCCAGAACCCTCCACAAGGCTCTAGCCCTTCCTACCTAGGCCAGCGGTGGGGAGGGTCCTGGAAGAAGCAGTGAGAGTGAAATTGAGGGTTCTTCCTTATCCATATCTTTTTACTTTACACACTTTCAAAAAAGATTTGTGAGATATAAACATACCTGCATATTAAGCTAACACACAAACACACTGCTCTTGGAGATGGGGAGTGGATTCTTCTTGAAGTGGACAACTACATTCCTAGAGTTATCTGGAAGCCCCTGTTGTTCAATAAAAGAAAGCACCCCAGTACTTTAGAACAGAGAAGACTTTTCTTGGGACCAGAGCATAGAACAAATTGGTACTTGTATAGAAAAAGTCAATGGTGTGGATCCCGGGACCCGAGCGGGGTGGGCAGAGGACAAAAGAAAAACTCCACTGCCTCACTGTGAGACATGAGCTCTGTAGCTCCTGCCACAACTCCTCAGGGTCTGCTCCTCATTCCTTCAAGTCAATCTGAGTTTCAAGTCTTTCCTTGATCCGTGGGACACAGTTGAGGGCAGAGGTGAAAGCTAAATGGACAACCGCCAAGGGAAACAATCCCATCCTCCAATGGCCCAGAGCTGATTCAATATCATGAGCTCCGAGCACCCAATGCCAAAACACAGAGACCCAGAACAATAAAGTCTGAGTCCTCGCCTCAGTTTTTGTTTGAAGCTCTAGGGGAGAGTGTGCCAGGGAGTGGCAGAAAAGCCTGTCACAGGTCAGGCCCCTAGGGTCACACACCAGGGAGGGAGGAGGTCCATAGAGTTCCAGCGGAGGCATGTCTGGAGGACTGCTTCCAACATAAATATGCAGCTCTCTTCTCTGACCCGTTTGATCCAAAGAGTAAAGGAAGAAACTTCCTTGCACATGCCTTTGGTAGAGGGAGGAGTGGGGTTCCCTTTGAACAGATAGAGGTTTTCATTGGCATTCGGGAACACAGAGATAGAACTTGGTGGGGCCAGGAGTCCTGGCCTGGGGGGTGGTTGGAGAAGGGGATAGAGCCACCAGGGTTCTAGAACAGGAGTGGCCAGGACCTGGAGCTCTTACTAGATCACTGTCTATTCCTGCAAGTGTGCCTGGCAACCACAGAGTAAACTTAAAGAAAGTAGAAGAAGAATCAATGTGGACAGGAACAAAAATGAATGAATCAACCAGAAAGCTGAAGAACAGAACTGGTGAAGAAATCTAAGAGCTGTTTGGAAAAACCAACAAAGCAGCCAAATTCCTGGCAAGTTTAATCAATGAAAAAAAAAAAAAAAAAAAAAAAACAAACACAGAGGGGATTAAAAAATATGAGAATACTGTATTCAGTTATTGGTAATAAATGTAAAAGTCTCAATGAAATGGAGTAAAAGGAAACTTTAGGCCAGGTGCAGCCTATTATCTCAGCAGTTTGGGAAGCTGAGGCAGGTAGATCCCTTGAGCCCATGTGTTCAAAACCAGACTGGGCAACATGGCAAACCCCATCTCTAGTAAACATTCAAACAGTAGCTAGGTGTGGTGGCATACACCTGTGGTCCCAGCTCCTCAGGAGGCTGAGGTGGGAGGATCCCTTGAGCCCGGGATGTTGAGGCTGTAGTAATCTGTGATCACGCCACTGCACTCCAGCCTGGGGATGATAGAGCAAGAACCTCTCTCAGATAATAAAAACAAAACAGGAAACTTGAAAGTACCAACATTGAATTAAGGAGAGAATATTTAAAACTACTGTAAAGTGCTATGAAAGACACTGTGATGGATTTTTTTCAGAAAATTCCTTCCTTCATTTAAAGAATGAATAATTCCTAGAGCATAGACCAGGGAAGATGTTCCAAATTACATCATGAAGGCAGCATCACCTGGACCCCAAATGCAGAGAATGCAAAAAAGACTACAGACTGATCTCGTTTAGGACATGATACACCAAAATTCTAAGTAAAATATCGACAAGTCAAATCTAGCATGGTATTGAGAGAACATACTGTGAGCAAGTGTAATACATTTCAATGGCTAACTATTAGGAAATCTACCATTAATCATTCCAAAGTCAAAGAGAAAAACCATTTGATTCTCTTGCTAGACACCAGAAGGGCCTTTGAAAAAAGCTCAAAATCAATTTCTTGGGGAAAACCCCTCAATAAAATAGGAATGGAATGATATTTTCTTCGTGCAATGAAGAATATCTCTATAAAAAGAAGAAACAGCACCATTCTTTTTCAAGTGGTGAAACATTAATTTGGGAAAAAAGAAAAAGGACAAAGGAAGGGAGGCAATACCAGACTCTCAATGTCATGCTGGATGCTGTAAATGGAAGGTAAGAAATGAGAGATACAAACAGTAAAACAATGGAGAAAAATGGTATGTGGCTACATCCGGGCAACATACCAGTAAAGTCGTAAGGATTAATTGGTTCGTAAAGAGGCCAGTACCAAAACATACAAAACTGATAGCTTGCGCATACACCAGTAATGACTACACAGAGAAAACAAAACCTCACTGATGACATTAAATAAGGCTTGGCTAATTGGAGAGAGATGTTCTTGTGTAGAAAGACAATATTGTTAGGAAACAAACTTAAAATTAGGCCATATGTTTAATTCCAAATTAAAATCAGTTGGGAGTCAAGGCAGGGTGGCTCACGTCTGTAATCCTAGCACTTTGGGAGGCTGAGGTGGGTGGATCGCTCGAGTCCAGGAGTTTGAGACCAGCTTAGGCAACATGGTAAAACCCTGATTCTACCAAAAATGCAAAAAACTAGCCAAATGTGGTGGCATGCACCTGTAATCCCAGCTACTTGGGAGGCTGAGGTTGGAGGACTGCTTGAGCCTGGGAAGTTCAGGCTGCAATGAGCTGAGATCATGCTATTGCATTCCAACGTGGGCAACTGAGGGAGACCCTGTCTCAACAAATAATCAATTAGTAGGGCTTGACAAAACAATTCTGAATTTAGAAGAAAAAATATGCAAGAATATCTGAGGAAATTTTGAAAAAGGTCAGTGATTGTCATTTTGCTATACTGGATATTACAAAGTTTGACAATACCAAATGTTGCAAAGTGGGGTGGAGGGAGAGAGGACCGAGGAAGAGCTGTGGGCATTCTCTTCTGAGTGTGGCACTACCTTAATGATCTTGATGCATTTTACAAAACTCTGTCAATTCAATAGTTGCAGCCAAAGTTTATTAAATGCCAGCCAAGTGTCAGGCACAACACACACAACAGTGAGTGAGACAGCCTCAGGCCCTACCCTCATGGAGCTTTTTGTCTGGGGGAGGTGATTCAAGAATTAACCACGAGTGAGATAATCACTTCCAGAGGGAGCTTTGGGAGGATGGGGACAGTGGCCCCAAAATAACTGTCCCCATAGGGAGCAGGCTCCACCCTCTTACCTCAGTTAGAAAGTGCTTCCTGATGTCTGTGGTGCCTGTCCTTTAACTGGTGGTAGGCTTGTCCAGTGAACTGGAAACTCAAGGAATGAGCCTGCCTCTGTATGGTGGGTGGTGGACCGACCCCTCAGTGAGGTGGCCAGCACCAGTGTTGTGCACTGACCTGTGCCTCAGTCCTGGCCTCTGATAGGAATCCCGAAGACCAACATGAATGGCATGGTGGGCAGGCAGGGGGAGCTTGGTAAAGCACGATGCTGGGCTCACCCCCAGTGTGATGGGGCGGGAGGATCTGCATTTACCTAACAGGTTCCAGAAAAGTCCCTGAGTCACTCCTGATTTGGAAGCTCTCCCAGACCAATTCAGGGCTAATTTTGAACTTAAGTACATGGCAGTGTTCTAGAACAAAATGAGACCTGACTGCAAGTCAAGGGTGTGGAATGAATCATTCACTTAAAAATATACGACCAAATGCAAGACACCTGGGTCTCCATTGGTAGAGCAAAAAGATGGCTCACGTGTGCTTAGAGTGAGACACACCCTCTGCTGGTCTTGAGGTTTTTTGAGCTGAAGCAGGCAGGATGACTCCCCCTTTGGCTTCCAGCCCTTCAGCAGGACTAAAGAGGGGGCCTCAGATCTTCCTGCTTCACCTCCAGTGCCCCTGTGTCTCCCCAGGGTTGCCTCTCTACTGGGGATCATTAGGCCTCTTCTCCTCTTGCCCCTTATCCCAAATTATGCCAATCTCCACAAGAAGCCTAGGCTTCTGGGGCATCCCTCCTCCCCAGAACCTTCTGTTATGCCTTCTGGAACTCATGTTCTGTCAATAACATCTCACACATCCTCAGACTCCTCTATGAGTGCTCCTTCACCTTCTTGCTCCGATGGAAACCTGGCTTCCCCCGAGGACACAGCTTCTCCCGCAGCAGCTTCAGAGGGCGCCCCTTTCTCTTGGTACCACTAGGCTGAGAGGTGGGGTAGGCGTCCTTCTCCTGGGCCCTCACTGCCACTTCCAGACCATTCTCGTGTCACGCCTACCTCCTACCATAGCTCAGACATAGCTCTCACGCCTCTCACTCCTGCATCCTGGTCCCCTTTTCTACTAGATTTTTCCTGCTAGCCCATACAATGCTTTTATTTCTCCTATCTTGAAAATAAAAAGGCCTTCTCTTTATCCCAGTTTCTCTCTGAACTATGCCCCATTTTTCTCCTTGAGAACACCCTGAAATGCTGTCCACACTCGAAGTTAGAGCCAGCCCTGGGCAGCTCCGTGCCAGAGCTCTGGATCCAGCCTCCCACCAGGAGGATGGAACCATGTGGGCAGGGAAGGTCTCTGTGGGTCTGAGGTTCCTGGGGCCCTGCCAGGGAAAGGCAGAGACCGAGCTCTCTGCCAGCAACGTGGGAGACATCCAGCTCTTCCCTTTGGCCCTGATTTCCTCTTTTCCTTTTGTGTTAATCCACACATTAAAAATAATGTGAAATTAATATATCCTAGGCAGACACATTTTCTCTTTCCTTTGTTGGCCAGGCTGGAGTTCAGCGACACTATCTTGGCTCACTGCAAACTTCACCTCCTGGGTTCAAGAGATTCTCATGTCTCAGCCTCCCAAGTAGCTGGGATTACAGGCACCTGCCACCACAAATGGCTAATTTTTGAATTTTTTATAGAGCCAGGGATTCACCACGTTGGCCAGGCTGGCCTCAAACTCCTAAGCTCAAGAGATCGACTGGCCTCAAACTTCCAAAGTGCTGTGATTACAGGTGTGAGCCACCACACCAGCCTCATTTTCTCTTAAATTCGAAAACCTTCAAGTGAAAACATTTTGCATCCATAAAGCAAAATCCCATTCATTGTCTTTGGGAAACACCAACCATTCCCAAGGTGAAAGGCAGCATAAATATATCCTTAAGTAAGAGGCACAGTCACAAAAATACCATGCGGGAGTAATCAACAGATTCAGGAGATTATTATTGTGTTTTTGGGAATGAATCGCTACTTGTCTGAACTGTGCGGAGGTCGAGGGAGTTTTTAATTTAATGGATTAATCATTTATGTCTCAATTTCTTGCTCTTTCCTATGAAAGCAATGCAAGAGGTTTACACAAAGTTATAAATCATGTCAGTGCTCGGGCTGCATTTCTGGGAGGTCTGGGCTATGGGTAAGTTATACTAATAATTTGAGAGAGGAAGTAGTTGCTTGGAATGGTTTCTTTAGTCAACCGAGTCAGGGCAGAGGCACCGAAGGGGAAGTCCCACAAGGTGGCGGCCCTGCCTCTGCATGGGATCCTGCCCCCATTGCTGGGAGTGTGGCAGTTCCAGGGAGAAAGCAGCAGCCTATATTCTATTCTTGGCTTGAACATTTTCTCTGGGTCTTGATTTTCCAACCTGTGTAATGGGAAGGAGGCTCTCTGAGGAGCCACCAGCTCTGACCATCTGTGTCCACCAACTGTGGCTAAATTTGGCTTGAGCTACACCAGCAGTCACCCCATGTCTGCCCTACCTTGGACTTTGAACTGTATCATCTGCCAGGCATTTCCCAAGCATTCCCATACATATTTCATCAGACCAGGTTGGGGCAGCCAGCAGTGTGACCTAGAGGTCAGAGTATGGGCTCTGGGTCCAGGTCAACACCCATCAATTGTGTGACCCCAGGCAAGTGACCTTCTTTAGCAACTCATCCGTGAAGTGGGTTAAGATACATGGATGGGAGGGTCCATGTGAAGGGCTGAGCACAGAGACTGACTGAGGTAAGTGCTGGGAAAATCCTGGCTGCTGTAATCAGGAGGCAGTTAATTCTTCAGCTTCTGGGACTCCTGGCAACACAGGGGCCTGTGAGAATCAAGGAAAACCTTCCAAGCCTCAGTTTCTACCCTGGCTTGGCTAAGATGAGGCTCATCGTGTCTCTTGGGGAGGGAGATGGGCACAAGCCCTTGTAGGAGGAAACAGAGCCTCGTAATTGAACCAGTGATATGGTTCCATACCACCTGGAAGGAGTGGTGGATTTCAGTTTCTGCTCTCGCTGGATCCAGAGGCCACAGTGGCCCAGCAGAACCGTGTTGCCTAAGGGGCATGCTCCACCCTCCAAGGCCTGTGGGAGCCCCAGCTGCCGAGCATGATTGGCCTGAATGGCTCACGCCCTTCGCACTTGGATTCGTTTCACCTGTGGAGGCTTTGGGTGGAGCTAAATATGAAAACTGGTGCAAAGACTTTGCCCTTTCCACACCGTTCCCCTTTACTTATAAGAGATGAAATATTTTGAGGTTAGATATTTCTTTAAAAAGACAGAATACAGGAGGGGGCAAAGGTTGATCTGAGCAGCAGTTTGGGGAGGCTTTGAGGGGACAACATGCATGGAGCCATTTACTAACCATTCACCTGCAGGACGTGGGTCTGGAACAGCTGCTCGTGGCCGGAGGCATGGCAGGTGTAATTGCCCATGTGGATGGTGGTCACCTTGGTGATGTACAGGGAGTCATCCTCTCCAAAGTCCTGCACAGGCAAAGAAGATGATGAGACTGGCCTCTTTACTGAGTAGAGTGGAAACCATAGCTGTCTCCTGTTTTCCAAAAATCCTGCAGCTGGGAGACAGTTCCTTTCTGCCTGTCCTTTGCTCAGCCAAAGCTGCCTGCAGGGCTGAGCCATCCTGGGCAGCAGCAACCCTGTCTCACCTCCAAATTGTGGGCCCAGGCCCCCTGTATCCGTGTAAGGCCTTGTGTACCTGGTGCCTCCTTCGTGAGGCCTGGTTTGAACACCCCCACCCCCAGCACAGGCCATCTCAGTTTCAAGCAACTCAGTCCACGTGTCCCCCTATTTATCTGCTGCCTGCTTGTTTCACAGGGGTCTGGCTCACCTGATGAGCAGCTCTGTTTCCGGAGGCCAGGCTTGTTTAGAGCAGGGGTTAGCAGACTTTCTTAAAGGGCTAGCGAGCAGATATTTTTGGCTTCATAGGTAGCACAGTTTCTGCCAAATACTCAACTCTGCTGTTATAGCATGAAAATAGCCTTCACAACACATAGATGAATGAATGTGGCTGTGTTCCAATAAAGTTTTATTTAAAGTTGGTGGCCTGGATTTGGCCCATGGGCTGCAGTTGGCCTGCCTGTGCTTTAGATCCTACCTCAATCGCAGAATGATTTCAGGCAGCTTGCAGAGATCTTGATAACCCAAGGGAAGGGAAATGGAACTAAGGGGAAAATGGGGCAACAACAACAACAACAAACCAGGGCAGGAACATCAAAGAGCACTAGGAAAGGCTGATGCCCGCGGGTTCCACAGGAAATGGCCCAGTAAGCCTCGGCACTGTCATCTCTGCAGCCTCACATAATGGGATCTTATTGGGCCAGTGCATAGGGGAGGGATGGGCAGGAGGGACTTTGGCTGTATTGGAGTCCCCAGACAAGCACTGGACACCAAGCACTTGCCCAGTCAGCTGCATCCCCTTTTGCAAACCTGCGCTCAATGCTGGCCCTTCCAGGTACCAACTCCAGACATGCCAGGGATTGGAATTACCCGCTTTCTACAGAGAACCCTCATCAGGTTGGGCCTTGGCTACCTAACATCTCCCAGGATATGGTGCTCAGAGCTGATAGGACAGAGAAGGCCCAGGCTCACTGATGAGCAAGGGGGCTGTGCACTGTCATCTGCGGGGACTGATGGGGACTCAGGAGATCCAGGATTTAGCTTGAGCTCTGCCAGTGACCAATGTACTCAGTCTCTCTGGGCACTGGCTTCTCCACCTGTAAGTTGTGGACGATATATATGGCCTGCCTGCCATATGGGGTGTTGGGAGATCCAGTGAGAAAATGCATGTGGGTGGATTTTTGAATGTGGGATGATGATATACATGGGGGATGTTATTTCTCTTGTTATTATTAGAAGATACGAAACTCCTTTTAACCCCCTGGAGCAAGCACTACATCATCCCTCCTGCCATTCCCTGGCCCTTTCTGAGCTTCCTTTTTCCACAGAAGCACTCTGGTGGCAGGATAGGAGGCCATGGTGGCATGAGGGCTAAAAGCAGCCGAATGCAGCTCCCTGGGTCCTCTGCTGATATTCATGTAAGCTCCTGTCCCCAAAATGCCAATGCTCTCCCTTGCTCACACTCCAGAGGGCCTGGCTACAGCTGTCCTGAAATTCCTTAAAGACACTTTCTGAGCTGGGTGTGGTAGCTCACACCTGTAATCTCAGCACTTTGGGAGGTCGAGGTGGGTGGATCACTTGAGGTCAGGAGTTCAAGACCAGCCTGGCCAACGTGGTGAAACCCCGTCTCTACTAAAAAAAAAAAAAAAAAAAGTAGTCGGGCATGGAGGTGCACATCTGTAATCCCAGCTATTTAGGAGGCTGAGGCAGGAGGATCACTTGAACCTGGGAGGTGGAGCTTGCAGTGAGCTAGATGATGCCACTGCATTCCAGCCTGGGTGACAGAGTGAGATCCTATCTAAAAAAAAAAGAGACTCTTTCTGGCTAATGAGCCAGATGAAGGGGTGCCAGCCCAGAGTGAGGCTTGGTGTAGGGCAAAGGCAGGAAGGTAGATGGTGGACACATGCAGCCTGCTTTCAGGGTCAGGAGAAAAACTCCCAGCGGTGCTCCCAAAGAAGTAAAATGTTGCAGAGGGCTTCGGGAATCCCCAGTTTGCCGTTAAACACTGCTCTGCTTCAAAGAGCCCTTTTCTACTCTTCTGCGGAAGCCTCCATAGTAAAACAAAACACCAGACAGCTGATTTGTCCTGCATCGTAACCAAGTCATAAAAGGCTCACACCTGCGTTGCTTATGAAAAGTTAATGACTAGTCAGTTCTGGGGCCAATATATTTCTAGTCTAAGCTGTTTCCTGTGTCAAAGCCTAAGTCTGGAGGAAAATCTGTTTAGCTCGGAGTCTCAGTGGCGGGATGGCATCCTGAAACAGGGCTGGGAGGATGGGTGCAGCTCCCATCCTAGGGAAAAGGGTGTTGAGGCTTAGAAACTACTCAGCACCCCAGTTGATGGGTCCCAGGGCAGACTCCATCCCAGAGGGCAAAACCAGAGCTGCTTGCAGGGAGCCCGGTGCTGTGGACCTGCTGACGTTTTCCCTCCAGATTGCCTTCCTGAGCCTTCACGCCCATAGCCCCTTCTAACGACAGCCCTTGAAGCTGGTCTCAGGCTCTGGCAGCCCCTGCCTTTGTCACCTCCTCTGTGGTGTTGCTCAGTCTGAGCACTACCACATTCCTCAGGCTGAGATGGGCCTTGGGCTCCCAGGGCTGCCCCAAGGCCACTGTTCCCACAGATCAACCTCAGGATGATACCCATGAATACCAACATACGGTCTTCAAAAGGTTTCTCTGTGCTGGGAACTTACACATCACCTTGTATGTATTTAGTACTCAGGAAAAAAATCCCTGAAAACCCAATCCAGAAAACAAAACAAAAACCCAGTTCCCCGGGCCTGAGACACTAGGCTATCCTTGGAGATTCATTCTGAGTGTGATCTTCTCTCACCACCTCCACTGCTCCTGCCCCTGGCCAGCTGCCACCTTCCTGGGACCCCGGCTTCTGGCCCGCAACCTCTGCCCTGAGGCAGCCACATTGTGCCCCTTATACCCAGAGCCTTGCTCGCTGGGGCCAGCCCCTCTCAGACCCTGTCCCCTTGCACGCTCCCCTTGCTGTTGTTCTGGCATAGGCATGCTCCCTCCTCCCAGGCCATCTGTCTGTCCATCTCCCTTTCCTGCAAGTCTGCTCTGACCTTGTCTGCCAGCCCCATCTCCGGAGCTTCACCTTTGCCCCACACCCTGCAGCACCCACTGCTGTGCCACGTGCTGCTTTCTGTACTCACCTGGTTTGCTATCTGCCTCCCCCTGCAGAATGTGAGCTTTGCAAAGGAGGGCAGGGAGGCATGTGCCCTGTGCGCCTGGCACAGTGGGGCCTCAAAAAATAACTGTCAAATGCAAGAAAGCTAAGCTTTCTACGGGGATTCTTTTGGTTTGTCTACCTTCCCATCCACTCAAATGTTACCCAGCCATACAGGCTCAAAATGAGGCAGCTGGCGGGAACAGCAGAGCCCTGGTCTCAAGTCTCCACTTGTTTCTTTCTCTATCCTGCAGCCCTCGAGAGAACTCAATGCTTTTTTGCACGCCTCAGGCTGGGGCTCGCTGGAATCGACCAAAACTCAGAGCAGCAGGCAGACAGGGAAGAGCCCATCGTGCCTGGACTCCCACCCCCTACTGATGACTTTTGCTGTGCCTCTAACACAGTCATTTAACCGCGCCGCCTGTTTTTTTCTTGCTTACCAAGCACAAATCCCTGCTCCCTGGGAGCAGAGACATAACTCTTGTGTAATCACTTGGGTGCCGAGGAGTGTATGTCAGCCCTCGGAGGACTTGAGGGGCTGCTGGGTGTGTTATGGCTCTTCTGTGAGCACCTAAGCATCGCCTGCCTGTGGCTTCAGCTTGGGGAGAACCTGACTCTGTAATAAGTAAAATAATGTCTCTGGGTGAAAATGATAGGCATCGTATAATTACAGAACAAAGTGCATATTGTTTTCTGAATATGAATACCAGCTACAGAAATCAAATTTACCTCACTGGATGTGAGAAAATTACTTTAACAGTTGATTTATAAGAAGCTACATAAAGCTAAGCCCGCAATCCTTCCTCTCCTGAATGTTCTTTGAGATGCATCTGAGTACTGCTATCAACGCTTGATTGCATCTCTGTACTTGTTTCTTTATGGATGGCTTTTTTCTTTTTCTTTTTTTTTTGCTCGGATGCAGTAGTAAAATCAAGGTTCCTTACAGAAATAAACAGATGCCAGAGTAGACCATTCTTTGTATTGATGCATATCTGTTTTGTGGGAAAGCGACAATTTTAAAGACATGGTTCTTGCCTTTTAAAAAGTGATTTTCTAAGTAACTGCCCTTAATAAAGAAAGTGATTAAATGAGACTTAAGTATTAAACAATAGTTAAGCAGAGATGAGACGGGGGATACTGTCGGAGTGATCCATGGGAGTCGGGTATAAGTCATACGAAAATGAGCCCTCAATACTGAATATTTAGTGACTAAATGTTCAACGCAAGGACTCCAGAGTGATATTAGAGTTTAGGTTAATGATACTGCCAATGTTACAAGTTCAGACTCAGTTTAGAAACAATTATTCAGAGCTTTTCCAACGTTACCTTCCTCAGGAGCAACCCTAGCTCTCTTTAGGGGAGGAGGGAAGTCTCTCCCCTGTACAATCCTTCAGTTCTGGCCCCTAGAATGCCACTAACTGTAGCATCTCACCTGCATAGTTAAACACAGCAAACCTAAACACAGGGTGACATGTGGTGCCTCAGTGATGGCCATTCCTCAGACATGTCTGGGTTTCCCCAGCCCTTATCTAGACCAAGCCAGGACCACATGCACACGTGGTGAGGGTACATAGGCATCCACATGGACACATGCAGTACATGCGAGCATGCCCACATGGGGGAGCACAAACGTCTACATGGACACGGGGTACACATGATGATGTGCATGCATGAGTGCACACACGTACCAACACGCTGGCTCTCCAGTGCTGACCTCCCTGACCAACACTGAGGTTATGGTGCCATCACTTTCTTCTAGCCCCTCATAGGACGGACTTGCCATCCTGCAAAGACCTGAAGAACCATCCTCTTGCTCAGAGTTCTCTCAAGAAAAAGGAAGTCTCTGCAGCTTGAAGCAACCTCTAAGCAGCTGACTTAGCCCCCTGGAAGAGGGCTGTTGTGGGCAGCTGCGTTCATTGTGAGCAATCCGGAGTGGGCCTGTTCTCCTGCCTGTTCCCAGGCTCAGGCTCAGGAGAGGGAGTTGGAGGCATGAGAGAAGCCACTGTTTGGGGAGCACCTGGCTCCTCCAAGGCTCAGAGCATGTGTGGTCCCTGGCTGACTTGGGTGTCCTCTGGTCTGTGTGGTCAGTCTCCCACTCTGACCGTGGATGCCAAAGGGGAGGCCCTCATCTCTTCACACATGGCTCATCTCTTCACGCATGCCTGTACTGTCCTCAGCATGTCATGTGCATAACTGGAGCTCAATGAATATTTTCTGACTTCAGGGAGGTGTGTTAGCCTAGCATGCTGCCTCCTGGGGAGCCCTGGGAAGAAGGATAGTGAGGAATTCATATTACCCAGGGAGGTCTGGCCTTGCCCTTCTTGACTACAGGGAGGCAATCTCTAGGCTCTGGAATGTCATGCCTCATAGGAGTCTCTTTATCTGCCTGGGGTGTTTGGGCCAGGTGGTATCAGTTCTGCCTCCGGAGGGGCTGGAGATGAGAGGGCAGTCACATGCGCAGTATTTGAATGAGCTCCAGCAAACACTTTGGACACCAAGGTCTGGGTGAACTTCTCTGGGAAACTGATGCTGTGACAGCGATGTGTCCGTGAGTCCGCTGAGAGAGGAGAGCAGATGTTCCATGTTTAGATCCCTCCTGGGCTCTGCCCTGTGGGCTTTGTTGCGTGGCTGGGTTTTATCCGTACTCTTTTCGCTGTATTAAACTTTAACTGTGAGTATAACACTTACAATGCATTCTGTGAATTTTCCCAGCAAATTACTGAATCTGAGGGTAGTTTTGGGAACTGCCTGACTTGCAGTTTACGTCAGAAGTGAAGGCGTCTTCTGTGGAAGAGCCAACTTCAGTTGGCTCAAAACCTCAAACGGGGAGGTTCTGACCTAGTTGTATGGGTGCTACATTGCACAGAGGGACAAATCTGAATATCTGGGTATACACAGGTGCCCAGGCACCTGCAACAGAAGGCTCCTGCCAGAGACATGAGCTCTCCACTTGTCCACCCTCAGATGCCAGAGGGCAAATACCTCTTGACCTGCAAGGACTCCAGAGTATTATGTAGAAGGGGTGGCAGCTAATGGGGCCCTCTGCTGAGGTGCAGGCCCCAGCCTTTGAATAGGGCTTTGGCTCCTGGGCTAATTTACCTGGAATGCCCAGCTGGGGTGGGAAGGGACCCAGGCTCTAGGCTGCCCTGCAGCAGACATCTGAGGTTCCAGACTGCCTCACACCTGCTGCTTTCCTTTGGAAAACCTGCAACCCTCTTCCTGGGGACCCTTGGATCATGAATCCCCAGGCTGTGAAGGCCTTACCAAGGGTACCAGCTTCTGACTCTAACCTGGACCACACTCACAGTGTCCTTGAGACACTGACTCCTGTCCTTGAGACACTCCAGAGAGGATTTAAATAAATTTCCTTCTACCGCTCATTTCAGGGACCAAGAAGACTTTCAGTTAGGAATTTTTTCCTGACACAGTATTCAAAACTCTTACACATTGTTGGAGAGAGTGTAAACTGGTGCAGCTTTTGGAGGGAGATTTGGCAAAACCCATCAAAACTGAAAATGCATCATTTCCAAGAACTTATCTTACATGTTGACTTACACACATGTGCAAAGAGGTGTGTATAAGGATGTTGACTGCAGTCTTGTTTGCTGTAGACAAAACCTGACGCAGGCTGAATGTGAGCCCCACTGCGTGGAACTGGGGAGGGGGAGTCCAGGAGGAGCAGTGCTTGGGCATGGCTCAGAGTCTACAGGACCTCCTGGTGACTCCCTTGTCTTTGCTCAGTGTGGAGGGTGCCCTTAGAGGGGTGGGCTCCAATCTGTAGTGGCCAAGAGAGGCATCAGTCAGCGTCCTTCACTGGCTGGGCCTCTGTAAGGAGGCAGTGAGGCTCAGGGAGGAAGAGACACTGTGGGGAGTTCCTGGGCTCTGCACTCAGGGTATAGAAGCTGAATCAGAACCTTCCTGAGGGCCCCCTGTACCTTGGAGATAGGGCCAGAACTGAGTATAAGCCAAGCTCTGAGGCCAGGGCTTCTCCTAAGGCTTTCCCTTAAGAGGGGAAAGAGGTATCTTGAAAGAGGCGCTGAGAAAGCAAAGGCCAGAGGATACACTTGGCGGGGCGGTCACCTCAGAAGTTCCACAGACCCCGGCCCCCATATCTTGGAGAGCTCTGGACAACACTCCCAATGGTTTGAACTCATTCAAAACTCGAAAGAACCGGATGTTCAAATGTTTTCAACACAAGCTACAGAGAATTGGCCAAAGCCTTTAAGTGCTTCAAGTATAGCGTTTTCTAAGATTTTCAAACAAAATGTACCCAAGCGTTTAATGAGATTATTTTGATGCACAGCCTACAACCACCGTCTATCATGGTGCAAACAGCTCTCCATGCTAATCAAACGCCTCTCATCTTTTTACAATGAATTCATGACTGGTTCATATAAAGACAATAAAAATTAAATGAGTCATGAGCTCCTAAATCATTTTCTTTTGGTCTTTTTAATAACTCACTTCCAAAGAAGAGCTAGTTGAGAGCATATGCTTCATTAGCATCATTTGTTCCTGGTTTTATACCATTTCGGCATGGGGAGAAAAGTGAACCTTTTAACACATCCTTCAAACACTGCCACAAATACTTTCTCCTAATGGGTTTTGTTTTTCTGCTTTTATCACCGTACTCTGCCTGCCGACATTTGAAAGCCCCAAACAGTGAGATTCAGTGAAAAAAACCCCCAAAACAAAAAAGAGTGGCTCTTTCAAGTTATTTGAAGTATACCAAGTTTGTTGCAGGCCTTTTTGTTTTTTTAAAAAGGAATACAATAGAAAATGTTTTCTCTCCCTGAGAGCATCTCGGCTAAACAATTCCTCGTGCTGGTCTCAGAGCATGCTGCTTCCTTCCTTGCTGGGGCCAGAGGCCGGCAGCCAGTGAGAACAGAAGCTCCACACACAATTGGATACATTCCCCCAGGGCCTGGGAACTACAGACAGCCTCACAGCAAAGACTTGAATTGCTGGGGGCTAGGTATTCTGTTCCACAAGCAAGGAACCCAGAGAGTCTGGGCCAGGCACATAGACAGCTGTAGGCCCACGGGAACACTCTCCACTCCTCTGAATGACTTAACCCCATGTGCCTCAGGGAGCAGAGGTATGGGGTGAGGTGATGCTTATGACCACAGAGCCTGCACCGTGTATGAATGGTGACCACACCGGCAACAACGCTTGTGATGATTCAGCGTTTCAGCCATTACCTGTGACTTCTGAGATGCCCTGTCCCTATTTCTGCTCATTCCTAGGAATGTCCCCTGGCCCTCAGGATCATAAGAAACAGTGAGGTAGACAGTTATGAGACAAAGGGCAGGTGACATTGCTGAGGCAGGACATGCAGACTGGGTTTGGGGATAGTCACTTCACCCCTCCCTGAGTGGCTGCTGTGTGGGGGCACCACAGCAGGGGCTGGGGGTGAAGGCTCCCCTTCTACCAGACACAAGCACAGGCACACTCCTGGGGCAGCCTGGCCCAGGCCCAGCTCATGCAGAGCACAGGGTGCTGCTGGAGGCCACTCCTCTGCTTAGCTTCTGAGGTGGGGGCAGTGGGCTGTGGCTCCTCCAGGACTGAGGCGAGGGGGCATAGGGACAGGTCAGAAGCACATCCAGACCCACAGCTGCTTCAGTAACGAAACCCACAGTTGGCCAGGAAGTAAACAAATTACAGGCTGCACTTTGTTAGCTCTGGGGAACATGAGTGTGAGCAGACATTATTGATTTCTCATCAAACAAACAGAAGGCGGCATCATAATCCAGAGACCCACCACCAGGAAGGGCTGCTGGTCTCCTGGGGAGTGCCCATCTTTGGGGACTTTACACTATTTGTCCAAAATTCTAGCCTCTTCTCAGTGGGGGATGTTTTCTCTCCTGCAAGCTGGGGCTGGGTGAAGCTGAAGCCTCTTACAAGGCAGTGGTTCGGGTGTCCTCAGGAGACATACCAGATCCAGGCCCAGGCTGAACTTCCTGACAACCTTAAGAAGGGAAGGCTAGGTACAGTGGCTCATGCCTGTAGTCCCAGCACTTTGGGAGGTCTAGGCAGGAGGATCACTTGAGCTCAGGAGTTTGAGGCCAGCCTGGGCAACATAGCAACATCCATCTGTACAAAAAAATTAGAAAATTAGTCAGGCATGGTGGTGCATGCCTGTGGTCTCAGTTACTCTGGAGGCTGAGGTGGGAGGATTGCTTGAGCTCTGAAAGTTGAGACTGCAGAAAACTAAGATCATGCCACTGTGTTCCAGTCTGGGTAACAGAGAGAGGCCCTGCTGTCTCAAAAAAAAAAAAAAAAAAAAAAAAAAAATGGCAAAGTGAAGACATCATGAACTGGGCCATGGCCCCATCTGGAGAGCTTTGGGTGGAAGCCAGGGGGACCCTGGCGCACTGCTCCACTGCAGTTTGCCATTGGGGAAGTTAGGGAGGAGGAAGACTCAGAAAACATCAGCAAGGCTCCCCTCACTTATGGGCTGTTACTTGAACTCCCTCTTGGATGCATGTTTAATCTTAGGCTGGTGAGGGTTCTGGACTCTTGCAGAGTCCCCATACATGTGACCATGTCACTCTCCCATCAAACATCTGTGCTTCCCCACTTGCCACAGAGCAATTGCTAAGACTCTTAATGGTAACATCCAAGGACCTTTATGTTCTAGCCTCAATCTGTCCCTGTACTCCTTTCTCACTCACTCCTGTCTCCAGTGAGACAAAGTGAAGCCCAAGTCAGAAGGGCTCCTTTCTCTGGCTCCCAGAACAGGTATTTGTGGATACCTCACCTCCCTAGAGGCTACAGACAGTGTCTTTGTTCTATACTCTGGAACGCAGCTTAACTCTCAGGCCCTTGGCAAGTGAGTCAACCCAAATGATGATTCCCCATCTACACCACCTGGAAGGGCCCTACACAATTGGGTGACTCAGAAGTGCTTCTGACAGCAACATTGCTCGCTGCAGAATCTGACTGGCTCCTTCTTACTTGGCTCCGGGCGAGAGGGGTACATTTACTTTCTGATCAAATATTATTGTGATGCTCAAGGCATGCCTGATGTTTGCAAGTCAGAAAAGTTTAATTACATGTGTCATTAGAATGGCATTCTGTAATAGCTCTGTGACTAAATTCATTAACAGAATTCTTAACAGATAAGACAAGACAAATTAACATTTTGTTGCTCATGAAAGCTGCTCATTAAGAGAGTAGTGAAAAAGTGATTAGTATTTCCTTGCCAATCAAGATGTCTCATACAAACGACAAAGAAAGGAGGCCCACACCCCTTTGTGCTCTGTAATCTCTCCGCCTTGCGTTTTCAGGGCCTGTCAGCTTTGTGCAGTGGTGTTTGGTGTCACCACCCATTACAATGCCAGTGATCCCATTTCACTCCCACTGCCGTGGGGTGAACATGGCACTCAGACGCCTCAGGTCAAGGGACTCTGGGAGCCTCATCAACCCCAGCATCTTTGCTGCATCAGTGTTATGCTCCTGGGCTGTCCTCCCCCAACCCCAACTTTGAAAATTCCCAGTGAAGCCTGATGACCTGGCTCTGGCCCTCTTCAGCCCGATTTCTTCCAAGGGCTGCCTTCTGCACCATCCTGAGTTGGGCCGCTGCATGTGAGCACCTCTTGTGTGCCAGGCACCGAGCTGGGTCCTTGACACGCTTCAGCCTAAAATGCCCACGTAGGAGGACATCCTGATCTCTTTCTCCAC